AGTACATTTGGTTATCTGAACTGTTGTGTGTACTTTCTCCCAGATTATATTCTCCTTAAGATCAAAGTCCATGCTCCTATATTAGTTTTTGGCAGCACTAAAATATATTTGTGGAATGAATTAATGAATGCATATATTTAGTACATTCTAGTAGGGCCGGGCCTGGGTTACAGCATTATAAGGGAAAGAAATTAAACTTTATCCCTGTCTCACATCATTCTGTAAGATACTATACACAGATGTTGAATAGTAAAATTCGATTGTTTTCTTTCTGCATTATTTTTCGGAATGAAGCATTTTCATTTCTTAAAATAGCATCGTCCTAAGAATGCAAGTTTTTGCTGACTTGCTGTTTCTCTAAGTTTCATTTTTCTGAAGTTAAAATGTTCTTTGGTGTAAAAATACACTGCTTTTAATTGCGGTGTTATCTGTTTAATGATTTTTTTTTTTTAAGGTAGCATTGTCCTCTTGAGGTTTGTTAGCATGCGAAGATGTTCAGACCTACTTAATTGTGTCTGCCAATTCACTGTGTGAAATGCCTCTGTAAAAATCAGTGATTTATACTTACCAGTAATATTATATTCCATATGACAAAAATCAAATCAGATTTTAGGACTTACGCTGGTTTGTACTCTTTTTATTATGGCAGTGAGGCACTGCCTTAAATAGATGAGGGAGGGCACGTGCTGTGTATTCCTCTAATAAACAGAGCCCGTGTCCTCATTTATGTCACAGCTCCTTTTTGCCAACATCTTTGGTTCTTTCCCTCGGTAGGCTTTTGTGCTTGCCCTTCCTGCCACCTGAAGTCTTCATTCTCCAGCTTGTCCTTGGGACCTGAGCTTCAGAGTCACTGTATCTGAGAAACCTTTGACATCCCATCTGTATAGATCCTCCATTGTTTTCTGCAATACCAATTCCATGTGCTATATTCTCAGTGTACATGTAGAGTTTAATTATTTACTTGGTTGTTTATTACATGTCTCCCCACTAAGGTATCAACTTCCTGACGGCAGAGACCTTGGAGATTAGCTCACTTCTTGCTATTAAGTGCTCAGTAAGTAGTTTTTCAGTGAATAATAGTAAAGTAAGTCTTATTCAACCACCAAAGCTTTAAAAGATTATGACCATTTCCTTTGAACGTATTCTCCCTACTGAGCACAGTGCAGCCTCAGGCTGATCTTCGCAATCATCTGTTTTTGTACTATGGTCCAGTAAAAAGATGCCCTTAAGGTCTTTATGCTGAATGACCTCAGATTATAAAGCCCTGTTCATGTTGAGCCCTTTTAAATAAGTATTTTAATCACAGCAATATTATGTGCTCCTTGTTAATAATAAAAGAGAAAACAGCCTAAAATGAACAACTAGTCTTTGCACTCATCTATTCGTATACTTGGCCACAGGCAATCACTCTTATTCCTTTGGGTTTCCTTCGTCTGTTGTTCTTTTCCCTTCATATATCTAAATGTTATAATAATATTTCATACTGCATACTTGATCTTGACTTTTCTTGCTATGATAAGCAAGGATTTAACTGATGTCTCCTTTACTTTTGTAATTTCTTCTTTTATTATTTTATTAAATTTCTTCTTTTATTATTGTAACAGTAAATAGCATCCTTTTATTTTCTTGTCCATTAACTAGAGATGACGTGTCTTGATTCCCTAATTTGTCACATAAAGATTAGCAAACACACCCTTTTTTGTCACTTTTCCTTCCCTTTTACCTACCAAGTCCTGTTAATTGTACTTTTGTGTTGTCAGAGTTGATAGCATTTACTTTCTATACTATTCAAAATAATTAACCTTTCTCATTTCCAATTAATTAAAATTATGATACATTTAATTTGTGTTTTATTTAGACCTTTTATATTCATTTTCTTGTAGTTTTTCCTGGAGCCAATATGTCTTCCATACTATGCTCTTAGTATCTTCCAGCTTGTACTGATTCTAATGACTGCTTGAAATCTTTTCATTTTAAAGTCCAGTTACGTTGGGATGAGCACTGGGTGTTATATGGAAACCAACTTGACAATAAACTATAAAAGAAAAAAAAAGTCCAGTTAAATTTCAGTTCTCATTTGTACTTCATAGATTCTTAGTTAGATCACTGCTTTCCTACACCTCTTCTACCCTTCCTACCTTAACCATAATTCTAATTTCCCTTTTCCGTTTCTTACAGTGTTTCTATCATGCTCTCCGGTTTTCTTATTTTTTCATTCATATTACCTTTTGACCATTTCCATCCTAAGTTAATTTCATGTTCCTTAGATTTCTGAGAACTTGGTTATTTCAAACTTGTTTGGTTTGATATGGAATTTTACATTGAAAATAACATGCTCTGACAACTGAAGGAATTGTTCCATTATCTGCCAGTATCTAGTGTTGCTAAATACTAGTCTAAGTCCAATCTCATTGTTTGTCATTGTTACATATTTTTCTTGTCAGACATTCCTTTTGTCTGTAATCTAAAATATTACAGTATGTCTGGGAGTTTGTCTTTTCCTATTCCTCTTATTCAGAACCTAGGAAATAATTTAGATTTGAAGAGTTAGACTCCTTTAATTTTATTATGTCTCCAGAAATATTTCCTCCATGCTCTCTTCTTTTTCTGGGTCTCCTCTGAAAGATGGAATTTTGGGGTTATATCTCGAGGTCCCTTTCTCCCTCTTTCCCAATGTAGTCCACCTGTGACTTTTTTATTTTGTATATTTTATTTTATCTTCTGATATTGGTATTTAATTTAAACAGTCATATTTTAAATTTTAAGTGCTGTCTTTCACTTTCTTTGTTCTTTTTCTATGATATTGCTCTGTTTGTGCATGTGCGCGCGCGGGCGCGCGTGTGTTTGTGGTGTGAATATTGTTGGAAGAAGCGTCTGCCATGGGCCCTGAGCATCCCTGCATTTTTTTACTGGTTATGCCAAGAAGGCAAAGGCTTGGCTGCTCTTAACCTGGACACTTTGTCAGGGTTATGTGTACAGTGAGAAGCCTTAAGGAATGAAATAATGTCTTCCTACTGAACAAAGCGCATTTATTTCATTTATTATAAAAACAGTAAGTGACTCAAACTCATTCCTCTCCTGTAACACAGTTAACTTTGTGTGCTGGCATTCATGAAGGACCCTTTGTGTCACTGGTAAGACTTGGGGGCCCGGGGAACTGATGCTAACAAGCATGAAGTAATAAAGTTCTTTGTGTCTGAGCCCCCTGTCTCATCTTTTCTGCCAGCATCCACGAAACGGTAACAGGGTAGCTTGTTAGCTTGTACATAAGATAAAATCTCGTGTCCTACAAAGTTCTTGACCCATTCCTCTGACTTTTTCTCAGTATATTCAAATTTCTCTTTAATGTGTTTGATACTTCTTTGAATTACCTGTTTCTTCAGGAATCTGTTTCATTTTTAGATCATGTCAGGTTTTCCTCAAACATAAGGTGATTTTTTTTTTTTTCTTTTTTTGGGTAGTCCAGTCATTTAGCTGTAGAAAGACTAACATTGGGGGCTGGTTGGAAGTGGGGCAGAAGTTTGGGTCTTCTGTTCTGTGTAAAGAAATTTCATTATGATCTCTATTTTGAGTTCCGTTTCTTATCTCCGGACTCCGCTGTTTCTTAACCGAGCGCTTTTACTAACTCTTTCCTGCACTGCGGTCTCACTTTGTGATCGCACCCTCCTCCATCAAAACTTTGCCACTAGCTTTCTGTTTTCCAGGAACTTCATGAAATCTCTTTTCTGCTGTTGACTCTCTTCCAAGTCTTAATGTTCCGAAGAGATTATGCATTTTTATCTCCTCCATTTTGGGGAGAAGGAGGAGATAAACTCTTTTCTTAATTATATGGAGAAAACACACTTTAAAAAAATGCTTTAATGATCACTTGTCGCTTCTCATTTCTAGGACTGTGTATACATCCTTCTAGCAATGCCATGTCCTTCTAGTAATACTCCAACCGTGCAGTGACATAGAAAGTTTAGTATCTGGAAAATCAACAAAATGTCCAATAGAAATTAATTCAAAATAGGCATGAGCAATGTTTATAGAGGAGGGCTTATTTGTGGCATTCGGGTTGGCTGCCAGAGAAGTTTTTGCTTACTTACAGTAATTTTGAATGCAAATGCATTTTTAGATAAACAGGGTATATAAAGATGCAGTATAACTACATTTACAATTTATTTTTTATTTTTTATTTTTTTTACAAATAGTTTATTGTCAAATTAGTTTCCACATAACACCCAGTGCTCATCCCCACGAGTGCCCTCCTCCATGCCCATCCCCCCCTCCCCCCCACATCCATCAGTCCTCAGTTTTTGTCAGCATTCAAGAGTCTCTCATGGTTTGTCTCTCTCCCTTTCCCCCACCATTTCCGCCCTTCTTCTCCCCCTTGTTCCTCCGTCAAGTTCCTCCTAATCCTCCTATACGTGCACACATATGATATTTGTCCTTCTCTGCCTGACTTATTTCGCTCAGCATTACACCCTCAAGGTCCATCCATGTTGCTACACGAGATACATTTACAATTTTTAAAAAATTCCTGTAATTTTTATCTCTGTTAAACTGAATTGCCAGTATTCTCAAGATTTGCTTTATGTTTTTTACTGAAAGTCATTCAAAGATTTAAATTATATATATTTTGGATTTGCCATAACCCTGGAATAAGAGTTGCCACTTATTCCGGGGGCCATGCCCGGCTTTCGGTTCACACAGTTCTCATTACAGCTACTCAGCTCTGCCCTTATACAGCACAATGGCAGGCCCAGCAATATGTGAGTGAGTCAGTGACGCTGTGGTGCAGTAAGCCTTTGTGGACAAGAAAATATGACTCTTATACGGTTTTCACATATCATGGAATATTTCTTCTTTTTTTTACAACCATGTAAAAATATAAAATTAATGCTTGCAGTAGGTACAGAAATTAGCCAACCCATGTGTTAGAATTACCTGTTTTACTAACAGCTCTCTTAGTGCTTGAGGACTGACATGGTTTTTCTCTGCCCCATTGTTTTTATCAGGCAAGCTAATGAAGAATATCAAATACTGGCCAACTCCTGGCGCTATTCTTCTGCTTTCTGTAACAAACTCTTCTTCAGTATGGTGGACTATGATGAGGGGACGGATGTTTTCCAACAGGTAAAAGAGTTACATCTTATTTTGCTACTATACAGAATAGAGTTGGTTATGGTTGATGCATTTTTGTTTGCCAGATAAAAATACAGTTCATTGAATAAATTAATAAATACAGTAAGTAGTTATAATAAATCGTGTGATGTGATTAAGGTAATTTTAGCCAATACTATCTCTGTCAATGCAGTTTTTTTCTATTATTGTATATGGTAAACACATGTTTACTCTTTCATTACAGAGGAAATATGTTTTTTCATGTATATAGTGGTAGTTTACATCCATTACCCTTATTTTGAAGTTAACTGTATTGGATTTAGGTGATGATACTTCGCACAAATTTATGAAATTTTATCTAAATTCAATGTAGTTTTTCCTTAACCCTCTCTTGTTTCAGTGTGACACATAAAGAGAATTTTACATGTAAAGTATTAATTATTTATTTAACAGTGTTCTCTGTTATGGACTGAGTTGTGTCCCTCCCAGATACACCATGTTGAAGCTATAACCCCAAAGTGACTATATTTGGAGATAGGGTCTTTAAGGCGATAATTAACATTAAATGAGATCATAAAATGGTACGCTATTTCAGTAGGATACTAATTCAGTGTCCTTATAAGAAGAAGAGACACCAAGAGAGTGTGTGCACGGAGGAGAGGCCACATAAGGACCCTCCAAGAAGATGGCTCTCTGCAAATCAGCAAGAGAGGCCTCTTTAGGAACCAGTTCTACTGGTGTCTTAATCTTGGTCTTCTAGCCTGCAGAACTATAGGAAAACAGATTTCTGTTTTTAAGCCACCCAGTCCATGGTGTTGTGTTACAGCAACCCAGCAGACTAATACATTCTCATTTACGTAGTCTTCTCTGTAGAGCAAGGTGATGAATTGTGGCCTAAGGATACTAGTTGTCATCAATTTTGTCATGGTTGTTTCATCATCATTGCTAAACTCATGTTCCAAACACACTTTGAAATGCTTAATGTTTACGTGTATTCTTTCATTTAGCTTCATAGCGATCCAATGAGAAAAATTCTGTGATCTCCATTTCACAAGTAAGGAAATTAAGGTATAGAGATGTTGCTTAGCTAACTTTACAGAGTTAGTGTCATTTAGGCTAGAATTTGAGCTCTGCAGTCTGGCTCCCAGGGCTCTAGCTCTTAAGTATGCTGTTATCCTGCAGTTATTAATATTTTTATATTTATACTGCATGATCAGTGCCTTTCATATGTAAAACTTATGTTAGTACCTGGCATTGACTAGTTTGGTCTATTTTATTTTTCTCACATGTGACATTCTTTGGCTTAACAGTTTACCAGGTCATAGAAGAACATTTAGTTCTGTAAATAATCTAGCTCACTAATTATAAATGGGCCATTAGTTAAGTATTTTTGCTTGTTTGCTTCCAGATTGATTATTCATTCATCTTTGTCACTTTCTAGTTGAATGACAGAAATTCTCTTTTTACCTTATTCTTAATCTTTCCTCTTCAAATTCTTTCTTTATTTCTTCTCCCATAAATTGATTTTGCCTTTTGGGATGTTTCTTTTTGTTCATCTATTCAGCAAATATTGACGGTCTCTAGAACAATGGATGGGTGAGAAACACATACATTGCTCTTCGCCATAAAGAGTGTACAGATCAAGGACCTGATAATAATAGTAATAATATCATAATGATAAAAACATAAGGACACCTTGGTGGCTCAGTAGGTTAAGCATTTGACTCTTGATTTCAGCGCAGGTCATGATCTCACGGTTTGTGAGTTTGAGCCCCCATGTTGGGCTACATTCTGACAGTGTGGAACCTGCTTGGGATTCTCTCTTCTGTCTCTCTCTCTGCCCCTCACCTGCTCACTTCTATGCTCTCTCTGTCTCAAATAAATAAATAAACATTTAAAAAATACATATACACAGGTCTTCCTCAACTTATGATGGGGTTATGTCCCAGTAAACCCATTGTAAGTTGAAAATGATACAAGGCAAAAATGCATTTTATACACCTAACTACCAAACCTCATAGTTTTGCCTTACCTTAAATGTGGTCAGAACACTTACATTAGTCTACAGTTGACCAAAATCATCTAACACAAAATCTATTTCATATTAAAGCGCTGAATATCATTGTAATTTATTGAATATGGTAGTGAAAGTGAAAAACAGGATGGTTGTATGGATACAGAATGGTTGTCAGTGTATCAGTTGTTTACCCTCATGATCGCATGGCTGAGAGCTGTGACTCACTGCTGTTGTCCAGCACAATGAGAGAGTATTGTATTGCATTATTTCCAGCCCAAAAAAAGATCCAAATTCAGAATTTGAACTACAGTTTCTAATGAATGTGTATTACTTTGTCACCATCGTAAGGTCAAAAAATTGTCAGTTGAACCATCATAAGTCACGGGCCATCTGTAATTTCAAATAACCTTAATGTTATTTATAGGTTTCCATAGAATCTCAGGAGAACTGACCTTAGAGATAATCAGCTGAAGTGCTGTTCACTAGTAGGAAATAGTTGTCCAGGTCTGATCTGATGGCTAGAGTAGAGGTATATATACCACATATATATTTGGTATTGATATATTGAACACAGTGGTTCTTCACTTGCATAATTACATATGTGTTCTCCTATTTTATTAAAACAGCCTTTCTTGGTCTTTATTTTTAAATAAATCTTTAATGGAAATACTATTTCATTTTTCTCCTAATTACTATAAGAAATGAAATCAGTAAAACACAATGGAACTGACATTGGTCTCATTGATGAGGAACCAGTATGGTGTGGATGAGGACTGCAGCAAACCAGAGAGGGTAAAGTTGACCTCAGTGAGAGAGATACAGCTCATTTGAGCTCTTTTGAGCAAATGCAGGCCACATGTAGCTGGAGCTGTTTTCTTAAGCCGTCCCCAAATATGACTTTTATATGAAAAATTTCTGTATTTAAAACATTGGCAACGAATTTGAACTCTGTGTGCTGAATACTGACTATATAGACTGCCAGTGTATAACCATATAGATATAACCACTGAATTATTTTGTATGCTTTAGACTTAAGGTTTTTTTTTTTATTAAGTTAGGCATACATATGAATGTTGACATCAAGACTATGTTTAATTGAAAAAATTCCTCAAGTTAATTTTTATTCAACTGAATTCTGAATACATAACTGCTTTGTCTTTTCTAAAACCTAGCCCCTTGCTTAGTAGTAAGAGTTATTTTAAAATGCATAATTGTGACAGTTAATGATTTTCATGGGTAATTTTAATCTAAAAATTAGGGAAGTGCACATTTTGCTTGAGAACTACTAAAGATGTTCAGTGCCATGTTTCTTTTCTCACTAACTGTTGAGCCGCATTTTGTTGAAGTGCTCTTTCTAAACTGACATTTTAAAACACTTTGCTGTCTGAAGATCATATTAACTCGAGTGCTGAAACTTGGCAATTCCTGGCCTGTTGGGGACTTGTTGGGAAAGTAATTTCAGTCATATGTGATTACTGCGTAATGCTTGCTGCTACGTGACTCATGACAGACCAGCCAGTTACTGACAATGGTGTTTTACAAGCACTTGTGGACTAGCAATAAGATTAGCGTTGTATTCTGCTTTGTGTAGCCTTGGGAAATTGGTACGTTTTAATGAAGATGAAAGCTTTGAATTATATGATCTTTTTAAACTCTATAATGTTTAGATACGAAACCTAAGTAGGAGTTTTCTGATTGTTCCAATGCAGAGACTTTCTGTTTGTAATCTCTTATTTACACGTTGGCTGTCGCTATCTCTTGTAAACCTGTCATAGAAACACAAACACGTCTGGAGTGGGAAAAAGCACACAGAAGAAAGCAGCTGGTGATTGTTATGTGCATTTTCACCAGCATTACTGATGTCCACAACGTGCCCACCGCTGGTAGTGCTGACACCTTTACTTTGATGTCAGCTGCCATGATGATTTCTGCTTTTTCATTCTCGGTATGGGAAGTGCTGAGCTGTATGGCAAATCAAGGCCAAAAATGTCTTGGCCTTCTGTTTGAGACATTTTTCTTAATTCCAGAGCAGTGAGAATTTAATTATAGAATTTTTATAACTTGTTACTCAATGCAAATTAACCTACATTTGTTTTAGATATTGTATGCTTAATAAGCACCATTTATATTAAAGTAGTGTTCTGCTCAATAGCTTTTCAAATGGAATTGCTTTTAGAAAACCATTGTGAGATATAACCCTTTTATTTTTTAAAAATTTTTAACGTTTTTTATTTATTTTGAGAGAGAGAGACAGCATGAGCAGTGGAGGGTCAGAGAGAGAGGGAGACACAGAATCTGAAACAGGCTGCAGACTCTGAGCTAGCTGTCAGCACAGAGCCCGATGCGGGGTTCGAACCCACGAACCGTGAGATCATGAGCCACCCAGGCGCCCCAGAGATACAACCATTTTAAGACAGTTGAGTTAATAGAGAAGTTGAATAGAAAAAGACTGTCATTGTGGATTTCTCCTATAGTCTGGTAAATTTGAGTTGTTGACAACAAAAATCTTCGTTTCTGATATGATCATCATTTTTAAAAAGTGTAAATTTTTAGTAGAGAATTTACATTAAGAATTTGACATTAATTCTATTATGCATTTATAATTTTCATCAAATTCCAGTATTTTCCTTTTAATAACTGCTTAAATGAAATCCTACGTTAAATGTGAAGGTTCAGAGAACCTAGCAGAATTCACAAGTCCTTTTTCGGTCAATAGCACATTGCAATGAATAAATACAATAATTAAGTTCTGGAAAGCCACTTGGGTCTTCAGAATAAATGCTCAAAACTCATGCAGAAAAAAAAACACCCCATAAAATGTTAGATGAATGATAGATAAAGATTGCTGGAATATTATATTTAGTATTTTTTATCTCATGTTTTACAGCTCAACATGAACTCTGCTCCCACGTTCATGCATTTTCCTCCAAAAGGCAGACCCAAGAGGGCTGATACTTTTGACCTTCAAAGAATTGGATTTGCAGCTGAACAACTAGCCAAGTGGATTGCTGACAGAACGGATGTTCATGTATGTTTTTATTCCCTGCAGTTTTAATAATAGGCTAATTAGTTTGCTTTGTTAGAACACTGTAATAAGGCTACAGGATTTTTAAAATTACTCTGTACAACATCTTTTCTTGCTTAGAGAAAACTGTCTGATAGTTGTACGCTGAACTCTGAGTTAGGTGAATTTAAATGGGCTTTTAGAATAATGGTATATTGATATTTTAAGAACCATTAAAAAGTACATGAGATACACACAAAGTAATTTCAGAAGCTAAAATATATATGCAATATTGTTCAAAGGAATTAGTTAAGGAATCTAATTAAAAAGACGTGTAATTTTTATTTAGCTTTTGGGCAAATAAAAATGATACACTTTATAGGAGCCATGTGAGAAAATACTCATATATGCTGTTCTTGGGACTGTGGAGTAATCATTCTAAGTGTGTGTGTAATGTCTTTATTTTAAGTAATTTAACTCTTAACAGTTCCACTTCTTAACCTAAGGACATAATTAGGGATGATTCAAATACTTAACTGTAGAAATTTTCATTTATTTATTCATTCATTCATTTATTTATGTTTTTGTGCATGTATTTTTTTAGAAATTTTTTCAGTAACATTCACTATAGTAGAAAAAAGTTGGCAATGTGTTATATGCTTAAAGATAGACTAGTTAAATGTAGAATTGACAACAGTGGTCCTCAAGTACATATGACATAGAAGCTCGTAGGTCAGACAAATAATATTTATTGTATTATCTATAATTTTGTCTTAAACTATAAACAGGAGTGGATATGTAGACCGTTTATTCAGAAAGTAAACAAACCAGAATCTTGATGGTAGTTAATGTCTATGTGGTGGGCTTAATTAAGGCTGCTTTATTCACAGTTCTTACCAGAATTTTCTAGAGTGAACAATCACAACCAGCAACTTTAATGTACATTTCTTCTAAAATATATAATTTTACCATAAGGTGTAAACACATTTATTCTTAGACAAGATGGGTGTTACATCATAGGTTTTGATGATAGTTTGGCAACTAACCCCATTTCTTAACTCCTCTCATTTTAAAAAATGTTTTGGCAAATACTCAGTTCTGCAACAGCATCATCATTTAGTTTGTACAAGATACTAAGGATAATATTGAAAAAGTACTATTAATTCTTTACAAGAGTTACTGAATTTTAATCAGAAATGATTCTATTGATCATACCTACACATTAAGTTACTTGATAAATATACTTTTGTTAAATAATCTATTTGAGGGGTGCCTGGGTGGCTTAGTTGGTTAAGCATCCGACTCTTGATTTTGGCTCAGGGCATGATCGCACGGTCGTGGGACTGAGCCCCACTTCAGGCTCCATGCTAAGTGTGGAGCCTGCTTAAGATTCTTTCTTTCCCTCTCTCTATGCCCCTGCCCTGCTTGCTCACACTCAACTCTCTTCTCTCTCTCAAAAAATCAAAATAAAATGAAACCTATTTGGAAATGATTTCAACATTTAAAAAGTTCCACACATGAAAATAATACAAATGGTACCAATGTATACCTTTATCAACTTGACCCGTACTTAACATTTTACCCCTTCTGCCTTGCTGTTCTATTCTCTCCTACTCCCATCTTTGTACACACATACTCCATAGATACACACAATTTTTTTCTGAAGGTGAACTGCACTTTCTGAGAAATAGGAACAGTACAGATATCACCTTCAAATGTTTACATTGATGTAATATTTTTATCTGAGCTACGGGCCATATTCTGGTCTCCCACTTGACACAATTGACCTAATAATATCCTATGGTAACATTTTATTGCCTTTACTCTAATAGTCTAGAGTTAAGTATAGCATTTAGTTGTCCAGATTTTTTTTACCTTCTTTTAATCCAGAATATTTCTATAACCCATCTTTGTCTTTTAAGTACATTGACCTTTTGAATCCTTTTCCATTTTTTAAATAGAATGATCCTCTTTTGATATGCTCAATGTTTGATTATTTTTTCTGATACTTGTTTATGATAGGATTCTACTTAGGCACTCTCAAACACAGTACTACACAGCACCACATGGGTCATTTTTTGTTCTAATGATATCGTTACACACAGGATATCTTTCTGACCCTCACTGATGATGTTGAGTTCTGGTCAAGGTTTTTCCTTTTCTCCACTGTATAATTACTGTTTCCCTCTTCTCTTTTGTTGTTAGTAAGCTGTGTGGAGGCATCTTGAGATTAAAGAAATATTCTGCTCTTCATCACATTTTTCTCCTAGATCTAGCACTGGTAATGTTGCTCTGATTCAGCTTTTACTATGATGTTTGCAAAATGATGATGTCCCTCCATATTTCTAGTTGGCCTTCAGCATTCTCCTGTGAGCAAGAATCCTCCCCTCCTGTCAGTCAGTCAGTCTGTCATTGGTAGGGACTCCTAAGTTGCATTTTTTTCTACAGTGGTTTGTAAGTTATTACTATACTTAAATGTTTTGGTGCTAAAATTGTTCTAGATTTGACCAATGGGATCTTCTTATGCTGACTCTTATGTCTATGTGACATCTCTCTATCATTTTCTTTTAACCAGTTTCTTACTTTACTGACATAACCATATATTTCAGCCTATCTACCTAATTTGTCCTGTGTGGCACTCAATTAGCCATCTCTCCTCAGAGTGTTCATTCTTTTAGTGAGAAATGTTATTAGAACCAAGATCTTTAGATAATTTGAAGTCACAATTTCATAGAAATGCATTCTACTTTTTAAAAATAGTTTTTATGCTTGGGGTGTATGGGTAGCTCTGTTGCTTGGTGTCCTGCTTTGGCTCAGGTCACGATCTCATGGTTTGTGAGTTAGGGCCCCGCATTGGATTCTCTGCTGACAGATCAGAGCCTGTAGTCTGCTTCCCATTTTGTGTCTCCTTTCTCTAACTTGTCCCAACTCTCTCTATCTCTCTCTCTCTTATTCTCTCTCAAAACTAAATAATAAACATTAAAAAAATTTTAAGAAATAGCTTTTATGCTTTAGTGGACACCATGAAGAAAATGAAAAGCCATGGAAGGGAAGAAAATACTTGGAAATCATTTTTTGAAAAAGGACTTAATATAGTATGTATATAGGAATCTTATAACCCAGTAATAAAAAGACCACCCAATTACAAATGGACAAAAATCTGAATAGACACTTCTATAAAGAAAATATGCAAATGGTTAATAAGTACATGAAAAGTTGCTCAGCATTATTAGTCATCAGAAACATGCAAATCAAACCTGCAGGTATATAGTACCTCACACCCACTAGGTTGGCTAAAATCAGTAGTGAGATAATATATTGGCAAGGAAGTGGAGAAATCCAGCTTCTCATTTACCCCCAGTGGGAATGTAAAGTGGTGAAGCCACTGAGGGAAACAGTCTGTCAGCTCTTCAAATCAAGAAACATAGCTTTACCATTATCACCCATCAATTCTACCCTTAAGTATGTACCCAAGATAAATGAGAATATGTGCCCACATAAAATCTTGTCCAAGAATGTTCATGGCAGCAGTATTCACAAGGCCATAAAGTGGAAACAACCCAAATGCCTATCAACTGATTAATGGATATCACATTGTGGTATATTTGTATAATGGAGTATTCAGTCATAAAAATGAATGAAGTACTGAAACATGTTACAAGAAGAACTTGAAAATATCATGCTAAGTGGAAGAAGCCAGTTACAGAAGACTACATTTTATTATGAAAAATCCAGTATAAGGGACATCTGTACAGACAGAAAGTAGATTCTTTGTTGCTTAGGTTTGGAGGGTGAAGGAAATAAGAGGAGTTTTGCTAAAGGGTTTCCATTTGACCTAATTGGAATATTCTGATACTGACTTTGGTGATGGTTATCCAATCCCTTGAATATACTAAAAACCATTGAATTATACACTGGGTGAATTGTATGGTATGTGTATTATATCTTGGTAAAAATATTTTTAAAAATCTTAAAATGCTGAAGATGATAAAATGCCCCAATTTGGAATAATACATGTATTACACCCCTGTCTCATCCCTACCCCGTACTGGCTGATCCCACCTTCCATAGGTGAAACACAGCAATTCTGGGTTGAATGTAAGTCATGTTTGCATATATCAACTATATTCATCCAAAGCAAGTCTTTTTCCATAGCCATGATGGTAGAAGCCATTCATTTTCGATTTCTAAAGAGTAAAGGGAGTGTTAGTTCTACATGTGACAAGTAGAGTTCCATCTTCCTAAAGTTTGGTGTTGAAAATTGGAAGGACTAGAATATGGTCACGAGAAAAACACTTTTACTTTATTCAGCTCTTAAAAAGTTTGTTGCATGTTTGCAGATTCGAGTCTTCAGACCACCTAACTACTCCGGCACCATTGCCTTGGCCCTGTTAGTGTCTCTCGTTGGCGGTTTGCTCTATTTAAGAAGAAACAACTTGGAATTCATCTATAACAAGACTGGTTGGGCCATGGTATCTCTGGTATGTTATTATTACACTGTGCTTTTTCCTAATTTCTTTGTATAATATTGTAAGTTGTATGGTTGTTGATTTTCAATAAAGGTGTTGAAGTCATTCAATAAGAAAAGAATAGCCTTCAACAAATTATGTTGGAACAGTGAAATACCTCATGTAAATAATGAACCAGAACCCTTAGCTCACACCACATATAAAATTACTCAAAATGGATTATACTTCCATATGTAAAAGCTTTTAAATCTTCCAGAAGAACACAAAATCTTTATCACACAAAAAACATGAACCATGGAGGAAAAGTTAATAAATACCACTTACTGAAGATTTAAAAATTTGCTCTTCAAAAGATACTGGTAACATAATGAAAAGGCAATCCAGAGAAGATATTTGGAAAATATATGTGTATGGGATATGTATCTAGTATATGTAAAAAATTACTTCTACTCAAAAGACAGAAATCATGGTTTTAGAAAACAGGCAATCTATAGGTGAGATGGCATATATGCATGCTAATCTTTCTCTCCCACTGAAGAACTATAAACCTTGAGAGAATGCATAGCTCATCAGGTATTTGGTGTTTCTAAAAAGTAAACGTTAGCAAATTGATCAGGTAAATATGCCAGTTTTCTAGATGACAATTACTAACTAAAAACGTATCAGTCTTCCTTTTGGTTTTCCTTGAGTTGAATTTGGGCGATTTGGAACAGACATGTATGTAGAGATAACTCTAGTGGATTCTTTTTTTGGGGGGGGCGGGGTTTGTTTTTTTTGTTTTTTCCTATTCTCTTGCTTCCCAATCCTCAGGCAGTCCTGTGGCAGGACAGTAGAGGCAGTGAAAGCAGTTGGCAGTGGGAAACTGTAGAAGCCAAACTCTTAATGAGAGGAAACTTTCTCACGATGTCAGCATGTGTAGAACTGTACACCGAAGAATGAAAAGCCAATTTTATTGTTTAATAATTCAGAAAATAAATAGGCAAAATATTTGAGATGATGCTTGATTAAAGAGACTAGAAAAGGGCAGAGAAGCACATCAGTTGTTCAGCAGGCCAATTAAATGGTAATGAACCCAAATCTTCTGGCCTGCATGTTATTGTGGTCCAATAAAAGTTTCCATTTTGTATACTGATACATATCCTGAAAGCCACATAAGCAAAGTGATAGGGCCCTATTAAAGAAAGTATTGAATGTAGAAGCCTCTATTTTAGGGTTATTGATTGATTAATTAATTAGTTTGAGTGATGTAGGCAAAATTCCCACGTTCTGCACTGTGGGGATAAATAAATTGAGAAGGAGGTTATAGTCTTCCACTGCTGACTGTTGAATAGCCATCCTAATCCCTCCTCAATTTGAGACATTACTAAAAGGTTAAAACCTTGAAGGATATGAAAGGCCTTTGTGGGGACCTCTTTGTGGAGACCAAGATATCCGTGTTGTAAAATGAAGGTGTACAATTGGAAGAAAGGGGAAGGTGGCTTGGCTAAACATGTAGCACAAATAAGATGTACCCTTTTGGAAAATTGCTACTTTGAGACCCCAGACTGCTGAGTAAAACACTGTATAAATCTAGAAACGAAGTAGAATTTTTGTTGGTTTGTTTCTTTGCAACCTACAAGGAAAATACTTCCCTGTCCCACCCCCAGCTTTACTGAGGCATAATTGATATATACACTGTGTGAAAGTTGAGGGAATATAACTTGATTTGATACCTGTATATATTACAAAATGTTTACCATAATGTTAATACTTCTATCACCTTGTATAATTACCTTTTTGTGTGTGTATGGTGAGGACATTTAAGATTTACTCTCTTAGAAATTACCTATAGTCGGGGCGCCTGGATGGCTCAGTTGGTTAAGCGTCCGACTTCGGCTCATGTCATGATCTCACAGTTCGTGGGTTCGAGCCCCGCTTCGGGCTCTGTGCTGACAGTTAACTCAGAGCCTGGAGTCTGTTTCAGATTCTGTGTCTCCTTCTCTCTCTGACCTGCCCCTGTTCCCTCTGTCTCTCTCAGAAATAAATAAAAACATTAAAAAAATTTTTTTAAAAAGAAATTACTATAGTCACAGTGTTATAAATGATAACCCTGGAACTTACAAATTTTATAACTGGAAATCTGTACCCTTTGACCAACATCTCCCTGTTTTCTCCACCTTACAGCCCCTGAAAATCACCATTCTACTCTCCCTTTTTTTAGATTTTACATACAAGGGAGATCATACAGTGTTAGCCTTTCTCTATCTGACTTCTTTCACTTGGCATTATGCTCTCCAAGGCCATCCATGTGTTGCCAATGGCATGATTTTTTTAAAATGACTGAAATGTGATATACATATCACATTTTATTTATCCATTAATCTAACAGTGAACACTTAAGTTGTTTCTGTGCCTTGACTGTTGTGTATAATGATGTAGTAAAAATGGGGATGCAGATCTCTCTTCAAGATAAAAATATGATTGCCTTGAGAAATACACCAAGAAGTGAGATTGCTGGGTAATATGGTAGTTGTATTTTTAAGTTTTTGAGGAACCTCCTCCATACTGTTTTCCATAGTGGCTGTACTTTTTACATTCCTACCAACAGAGCATTTCTACATCCCTGCCAACACTTGTTAAGTCTTACCTTTTTGATAATTACTATTCTAGTAGGTATTAGGTGTTAGTTCATTGTGGTTGTGATTTTCATTTCATTGATGATTAGTGACTTTTCAGCATCTTTTCATGTTCCTGTTGGCCAATTTTAGGTCTTCTTTGGAAAATGCCTATACAGGTTTTGTGCCTACTTTTTAATTGGATTTTTGTTTTAGTTGTGTGAGTTTCTTATACATTTTGAATTTCTTATCCAGTATATGATTTGCAAATATTTTCTTCGATAAGTTAGTTGCCTTTTCATTTTGTTGAATGTTACCATTTCTTTCCAAAAGCTTTTTAGTGTAGCGTGTTCCCATTTGTTTATTTTTGCTATTGGTGTCATAGTCAAAATATTGCCAAGACCAATGTTAAGGAGTTTTTCATACTTTTTTTTCTAGGAGTTTTATAGTTTTGGGTCTTAGATTTAAGTCTTTAACCCATTTGAGTTAATGTCTGTGAACGGTATAAGACAGGAGTCCATTTTTATTCTCTTACATATGGTTATCCACTTTTCCCAGGACTTTTCATTGACGAGACTATGCTTTCTCCATTAAGTATTCTTCACTCCCTTATCAAATACTTATTGAGAGTATTTGTCTGAGTTCATTCCTGGGCTTGCAATTCTTTTGCATTGGTCTGTGTGTTTTTATGATAGTACCATTCTGTTTTATTATTTTTTAAATTTAAATTTTAGTTAACAGAGTGCAATATTGGTTTCAGAAATAGAATACAGTGATTCATCAGTTACATACAACACCCGGTGCTCATCACAAGTGGCCTCCTTAATACCCCTCACCCATCTAGCCCATCTCCCACCTACCTCCTCCCTCCCATCAACTCTCCGTTCTCTCTATTTAAGAGTATCTGGTGGTTTGTTTCCTTCTCTTCTCTTCTACCTGCCTCCCCATATGTTCATCTGCTTTGTTTCTTAAATTCTACATATGAATGAAATCACATGGTATTTGTCTTTCTCTAATTTATTTCACTTAGAATAATACATTGTACCTCCATTGTCATTGCAAATGGCAAGATTTTGCTCTTTTTGATGGCTGAGTATTATTCCATTGTATATGTGTGTGTATGTATCTGTGTATACTAAGCATGTAAATGTATGTATATGTATATCCAAACTATAGAGAGAGCCCAAATAACCATCAACTGATGGATATATTATACATACTACCATCAGTATACCATATATATATTGTGTGTGTGTATGTGAGTGATGGATATATTATACATACTACCATCAGTATACCATATATATATTGTGTGTGTGTATGTGAGTGATGGATATATTATACATACTACCATCAGTATACCATATATATATTGTGTGTGTGTATGTGAGTGATGGATATATTATACATACTACCATCAGTATACCATATATATATTGTGTGTGTGTATGTGAGTGATGGATATATTATACATACTACCATCAGTATACCATGTATATATATATATAGTGTGTGTGTATATACATACACGCGTACATATAGACCACCATCAATCAGTGGACACTTGGGATCTCTCCATAGTTTGGCTGTTGTTGATTATGCTGCTATAAATATTGAGGTGCATGTACCCCTTCAATTCTGTATTTTTGTATCCTTTGGGCAAATACTTAATAGTGCAATTGGTGGATTGTAGGGTAGTTAGTTCCATTTTTAGTTTTTTGAAGAACGTCCATACTGTCCTCCAGAGTGGCTACACCAGTTTGCGTTACCACCAATAGTGTAAGAAGATTCCCCATTCTCTGCAACCTCACCAACATCTGTTGTTTCCTGAGTTGTTCATTTTAGAAATTCTGACAGATCTGAAGTGGTATCTCATTGTGGTTCTGTTTTGCATTTCCTTGATGGTGAGTGATACTAAGCATCTGTTTATATGTCTATTAACCATCTGAATGTCTTCTTTGAAACATATAGCTTAAATTCAGGGAATTTCATGCTTCCAGGTTTTTTCTTCTTTCTCAGTATTGTGTTGGCTCTTTGGCATCTTTGTATACTTCCATACAAATGTCAGAATTGTTTTTTCTATTTCTACGAAAAATGTCATTGAAATTTTGATAGTGATTACATTGAATTTAGAGAGTAGGAACATTTTAATGCTAATTCTTCTGATCTGTGAACATGGGTATCTTTCCATTTGTCTCGTTTCTTTTATGAATATCTGCTATTTCCTTGGTTAAATTTATTCCTAAGAATTTTATTTTATTTTCGATGCTATCATAAATGGAATTAACAATTTTTTTTCAGATGTTTTGTTTTAGTCTATAAAAACATAACCGATTTCTGTATATTGATTCTGTATCCTGAAACTTTTCTGCAATGAGCTATTAATTCTAATTAGAGTCCAGGAAGCAGACAATTTTA